TTGTAGTCTGTTTAGGTATGTAAGTGGTTGTGTATGTATGGAGGGATGAGTGGTAATGGTTACTGGTGTGCTAAAAACGACGTTTGTTGTTGTTGGCAGGCCTGGTACCACGGTACTGACCTCTGAAGGGGAGCTGTGGCCGTCTTGGAGCTGTAGACTGGGCGTAGGATCTTTGACGTCCCCTGTAGAAGGAGGTATTGTAGGGTCTGTTGTAGTAGTGGGGGCGGTAGTAATATGAGCCCCACCGTTGACGTTGGTGAGAATATGGTTGTTGGTCATATTTGAAGACCGTTTGTTTCATTTTATGAGAATGCTCAAGTTGTGAATCAGTTTCAGGATTGAAGAGTCCTGCCTCATCCATAGGAAGGTTTTCAATAAGGGTGCGTTGTGATTGGGAGAGGATTGCAGCCCTTAGCCAGGCGTGGCGACGAAGGGCCACTGAACCTGCAATGAGTTTCCCTGAAGTGTCAGCTGTGTTCCTTGCAAGGTCTTTTTGCAAAGATGATAAAAGGAGGGCTTCTTGTTTAAGAGCCAGAGCCAGTGGTTGGTTGGCTGGAGGTAATAACTCTAAGTAAGGGGATATCTTGTTCCACAAATGGGTTTGGTACACACTCATGTATACTCCATAGTGAGCCATGCGTGCAAACAGGCATGCTGAGGAGTAAAATTTTTTGGCCATAGAGTCAAGTTTTCTTCCCTCTTTGTCAGAGGGGGAAGTCTGGTTTGTTTGTACAGGTTTTGGCTGAGCATCCGTTACAATGGAATTTGCTTTAGGCATTTTAGAAAGCCATGAAGCTGAGGACAGATCAATACGATATAAATTGTCTGCTCTTTTGGGAGTTGCCGGGACCATAGCCGGGGCAACTCCAGTATTTTTCAAGATTTTTAGTAAATAAGGTAAAGTGGGCAACACAGTGGAAGTTGGTTGTTGTTGTTCAGTAGAGGTGAAGCATGGGTCTGCCACAGTATCTGTGGGTTCAGGTGTGGCGAGATTCAAAGCTCTAGAGAGTCTTATGAAGAGGGCAGAAAATTTTTTAAACTCTTCTAAATTTTTAGGGGAAGGGTCAGAGTCTGGAATAGGATCATGGAGAAGTGGGGTGTCATCAGTGGATTCAAGCTCCACTGTTTCAGAGTCGTGGTGAACTTGAGTGAGGGGGTCTTGAAAGGGTTGGGGAGGGTCCGGTTCCGTTTGATCTTCTGGAGGATGAGAGAGTGTAGCTGTTGGGGGTGCATGTGGAGGCTGTGGATAACTGAACTGTGGTGGATAATGGGCACTGTAGTCCTTGGGATGGTTAGGGGGGGTGGATAGTAGAAGGGATATACTGGATAGGGAGGGGGAGGAGGGTAGAGATGGTAAGGGTAGTCCTGGGGACCATAAGGATGGTATTGTTGAGGAGGGTGAGATCTAGCCCTCTTGGGAGGGTGGGGGTTAGGAGAGGGCTGAGGGGAAGGAGAAGGAGAACGCTGGCGGCGGCGTGGGGCTTGCGCCGCGGAGGCTTGTTGTCCTGGGGGAGGAGTTTCCCTCGGAACCGGGGAATCTGGTGGGCTGAGGGAAGGAGGAGGTGAGGCTTGGGAGGGAGGGAGGGGCGGAGGAGAAAGCTCCGCTGTGGGCTGGGCTTGCAACTCAAGCTGAGGAGCCAGGAGCTCCAGGGGGGGAAGATAAGAAGGATCGTCCATGTGGAGCATGGCTGGGAGGGGCTCCTGGAGCTGGAGGAAGCCAGAAAAACAGTCCAAAGGTCGATATAGCCAGTAGATACAGAGAGAACGTTCCGAGATGCTGCCGGATTAGCGCGGAAAAAGGAACTACATCTCAGCCGCATGCGGCGGCATATATACCGAGGGGGCGGGGAGAGGGGCGGAGCCTCACAAATAATCATTTTTAATTTCATTAAACTTTAGAATGTTCCGGATTTCTGCGCATGCGCAAAGGAAAACCCATAGGTGTGGATTTCGCAGAGGACACGAAGAATAACTACATTTATGGGTCTGATTCAGCAACATGGAGTAACTCAGTACAGCACCCCATATCCATGAAAGCTCATGTGGAAATAAAATCTAATTCATCTTAAATGAGCTGCCACATTTCCCCCTCCCCCAATTTTTTCTTCCTTGTTATAGTTTCACAAAGAAAACCTGTAAAAAGCAGTCTGCTAACTAGTTTGTCATTAATATCTACCCTGAAATATCCCCCATACAACTACCATTTTCATGATTCACTAGGAATAAGTAACCACGATGCAATATGTAGCCTAGTTCCATCAAATCTCAGATACAGGAACACTTGACACTCACTTCCTGGAACAGATTCAAAGGGGCAGCAATGGCTTTGAGTTCCTCCAAGTAAGATGCCCAGGTCCAACCTTCTGTCTTCTCCTCACTCAAGTCTAAGAAAAACAAAATGCAAATCAAATAAAAATTGTTCATTCAATAGTTTAATTGGAATATACAAATTTAGAGTTTTCAAAGAGAGTCAGAAAACAAGAATTGAGAGTGCTCCCCTTCCCCCGGCTCATTATGACCCATAACCATATCCACTTGTCAATGATAGAGTAATTGAGGATATGTTGGTTGATGTTTGCTACACAAAACCATCATGATTCCACATTTGTTCTGCACTCTTGCCCTAGTCAACTACAGACAGCACTTAGTAGGCAGGACACCTACCAAGGTTCTTCTCAATCAAAACCAAATTAGTTCTGTGGCTGTAAGTGTACCAAAAGCAAAGATCTGGAAACCATGCCATATGAGGAGCAGCTTAGGAAGGTTGGTATGTTTAGCCAGGAGAAGAGCAAATTAAGAAGTGACATTATATTCATGTTTAAAGTTTTGAAAGCATGCTGTATTGAAGATGGAGCGAGTTTATTTTGTTCTGCTCCAGAGACTGGGACACAAAGCAACGGATTCAAACCATAGGAAAAGAGATTCTAGATAAACATTTGGAAGAACTTTCTGATGGTAAGTCCAGTCTACAGTGGAAATTCTGCCTCAGGGTGTGGTAGTGTCTCTTTTTTTCTAAGACTGCATGAGCAGCTGTCAGGAGTGCTTTGATTGTGTGCTTCTCCATGACATGATTAGGTTGGACTGGATAGCCCTTGTGGTCTTTTCTAATTCTTATGATTTTATGAAAAAAATCTATTAACAGATGGTGTTTTACCAGTGTTTCTTACTAACTTTATTTTTTATTAATCTTATTATTTCACTGTGTATATAAAAACAAGAAAGAAGGCATATAAAAAGAGAAATAAAAAAAAAATTTAAACAAGACATTATACTACAATCAAATGCAAATCGCTTAATACCTACTAATAACTGTTCAATTATCACTTTTTAACAAACCCAATTCCTTCTTACTCCCCATTCATGAACCCACCAGCCAAGACCTCTGATACCACTCAATGTAGATCTCATATCTACCAAGAATCTACTCTCGTATCTTGTTTTACTAAATTTACGTCCAAATCTTCCTCCCTCCCTCTCTATTTATTTCTTTACAACATTTATATGCCACCTTTCTCACCCTGAAGGGGACTCAGAGCGGTTACAAGTAATATGTAAATACAATATATTATATTATTACCATAGCACAATATTATTATATATTACTATATTTTGATATAACATTATACACCTATACACACACACACATTATTTGTACCCTGCCACCATCTCCCCGAAAGGGACTCGGAGTGGCTCACAAAAATCTACCTTTGTCTTCTTTTCCAGATATCCAAATGCCAACTTTCATCTATTTGCAAATTCTTCATTATTTCCTCCTCTAATTCCATAAGTGACTTGGCCATTTAGATATACTCTAGGACTTTCTCTCTACAATCTTTAATGAATAGCTCATTTTCCCCTTTTCAGGATTTTGCTATTGTTAGTCTTACAGTGACAAAACCGTTTTGGCAAATTTCTTCATCTCCTACACTGATTCTCTTTCTGAATAATCCCAAAAGGTTAAGAAAAGGGTGTTCTTGACCTTTTTTGGTGTTCATATTATTTGTTCCTATAACCACCTTTCCGAAAAAATATTGTACTATACTGCAGGCCTACCAGACATGAAAAAAGAACCTTTCTGCATCCTATACCTCCAGCATTCCCCTCAACAAGTTTATCTATTTTAGCCATTAACTCTGGGGTTATATAGCTTTCCTACTGCCTCAGGCTTTAGATAAAAGATAACTGGACAGACCATGGAGAAGAAAGGGAGAAACTATTGTGGATGAACCATTATTTCCTGAGCCTTGTTGAGTTCATACCAGCAGAGCAAAATGTGTGTTTAGTTTCCCATAGGGCTAGAAAGAGAACTTTTCTTCTCCATTTCTTTTTCACCAATAATTTTATATTCATTCATCCCAAACATTTCACTCAGCAAAGCAGAAGTAAATAAGGAGGACCAAACTATACCTCAACAAGGAAAGAGCCCAGTAAAAAGAAAAGCTTAAGCAAAGGAAGTGTCACTTAACACTTACCAAGCTGACTCAGATTCCACTCTTCATTCCCAATGTTGCTAGATGGAAGTTCTCCTCCAGAGCTATTTGTCTCCTCCTGTTTTACTTCCTATGTCATATAAACAAAAAAAAAAAAACCCATTGTTTTCTATTCTAAAATATTTTTATCATGCTCTCCTATTTCTCTGAGTGCTGACTAAACCAAATGCAGTTTTATAAATAGTCAGTCATAAGCAATATATTCAGTAAAAAGCAATATAGGTAAAATGGGCACAACTGTAACTTTGTATCAAAATAGAAGTGATGTAAAAGAGTTATGATAAGATCATAAAAAAACCGAAGAGCAGCTGTTGGATGATGGGTTTTTAATGATTTTCTGTCACAGCATTGCACACATTCCAAAACATTATTATAACCATGCTCATGAAAGGGAATATCTGGATCATATTTCTAGTTTTCATCCAGCCGGAGTAATACATTCAGGTAAAATATTATTCTGGAATATTGGGGCAAAGAGAGGGTTGAGTTTCTATGAGAACACAAGGCCTCCATAAAGCCTTAAACATTAAAAGTTGGGAATAATTTATTCTATCACATCTATGTTGCTCACAATTTTGAGAATGTAGCATTGCTTCTCTGGACTCCAAACACACACACACACACACATACACACACACACACACGGAAATAGTGAGACAGAAACAAAAATATTCTGTCTCCTTTAACTATATCCAAAAAGCACAAACTGTTTGCTGACAGACTGAATTTTCTTCAAAAAAACCATTCATCAAAATCTAGAACTGTTGTGGACGTTGAGGAAACTCTCTTAGCTATGAGTAAGCTGAACCTAGCTAGCCATTGTCTTCCAGTTTAATCAAAATAAAACATTTTCTTATCTTACAATTATTTAAAAAGAAGTTAACACAATCAAATAATTAAATCCCAAACCACTATTAGTTACACAATTAAACTGCTAAGCTTTTTATTGTGAAAGGAGAATGCTTCTGGAACATGGCCATACTGCCCAGAAAACTCACAGCAACCCTGTTAAGCTTTTGTCAAATAGCACTTGATATCCTTAATCCAACCCCATCAAAACTGCTTCAGATTAGTTTAAATATGTAAATCAATGCGGATAGACCATACACTAGTCCCTTCCTTGCATGTTCCAGTTCATGCATGTGGACAATGCCAATGTGGACTGGAGTGAGTCTTCTATAAACAAATCACCCCTCCATGTGATGTTGAAAATACCAAGAGATGCACTGTCTCCACTGCCACCAAGCCAAACATTGGCACCCTTTGGCTGCACCTCCTGATGGAATCTCAAGAGAATCACTGGGATTTTAGTGGCAATGAAACCTGCAAGAGTACGATCTGGGCAGTCCATATAAGGCCCACTCCCACTCTAAGGAATGCCCTGCTCAAGAATGGTAATTTCACGGTACAGCTAGACTCAACTCAAGATAATCAAATGATATTAATCTCGGAAACAAAATGCTGCCATCCAACTCTATTAAACATATATGTGAGAACATCTCAGTCACACCGTTTGCTCAGCTTCTTCCTCTTCCTCCTCAGAAAGACTCTGATATTCTTTCCTCTTCCGTTTCTTCACTGGTTTGAGAATTTCAGTGGAGTTAGTGCTGCCAGAAGAGTTCTCCACAATGACTGATCTGCAAAACAGGCATAAAGGTTTCAATAGCTTTTCATAGACTTAGGCTGCTTTCCCTTCAGCATAAGGACCTGCTCCTATGACAACATAGTGCCCTCAAGTCCCTCCCCAATTCTCCAGGCCTTCTTAAATATTTTGGTGATTTTTCATTTCCAAAGCAGACAAACTGACTCAGAACCACCTGAAAATGTTTACGGTACTTCAATTTTCCCATTCCTCCAAAACAACAGCAAAATCCCTGGAAAAAATCCACCAAGGAAATATAAAGTATTTGCAGAATGCTGTCCAAAAAGAAGTTTTATAAGCTCTACAAATCATCATCAACATTATTTATATCCTGTCATTTTAATGGGAATTAAAGGCATCTTACAATTTAAAGCAAATACAAAACATGACAAAGGTCAACATTAAAATTTAATTAAACTATTCATAATACTAAAACAATTTGAAACATACCCTTAAGAAGGATAAAAGGCAATTAAAGGAAGTTCAAAAAAGCACTACTACACCCTCTGCAAAATCTTTTCTTTAAAAACAATCACTTCTAGGAACCTATCAAATAAAAAAATCTGCCTACTGAAAGAAGTACAAGGAGGAGGCAACCCTCACCAGGAGAAACCCTGAGCCTAGGCAGGCTCATACAGGGAGACCTGGAGTGCATTTACACTGCAGAATCAATGCAGTTTTACACCACTACCGTGGAGAAGTGATATAGTACCATGGGAATTGCAGTCTTACAAGGTCTTTAGTCTTTTCTGTCAAATAGTGATACCGAAGAGATACCAAACTATCTCTTAGGATTCCATAGCATTGAGTCATTGAGTAAATGGACCCAAGGTTGATATATTCTACCTGCTGGCCATTTTCTGGCATGTAGAAGACATGATGTAAAGTACATTGTAACCTGATAAAAAAGTTCTCTTCAAAGAATCTTGGAAATTGTATTTTTGAAAAGGTAATATAAATCCTCTTTTCAAAATTCCTATCACAACCTGAAATAACTACAGGTCCACAGGTTCTTTATAGGGGCCGTGGGGGGGGGGGGGGGGGGGGGGGGGGCTTGGGGAGCTTCAGCCCCCCCCCCCCGAAATTCTCATGGTGGTTGCGAAAGGCCTTACTGTGCATTATTTAAACTGTTATGTTTATTCATATCATGATCTGATCACTACTCAATATATCCCATATGCATGGTATTGGGGTAATGATACAAAAGGTTTGCTACGTAGACCCTCTTTCACTCAGACTCAGCCCCGCCCCAAACAAACTCTACCCCCCCAAAAAATTTAGCCCCCCCCCCCCACCAGAATCAAAATCCTGGCTACAGGCCTGGGTCCACAGGTTCTTTATAGGGGCAAAAAATAAACTAGGCTGGTTTGAGTTTGTGATGTGTCATAAGATGGCTTCCCTCTCCCCTCCCACTGTGCTCTTGTTCCTAATTCTAAGTCATCAAGCAATCTTGCCTGGAGAGATATGAAAATTCTCTTCTTTGATCTGATTCAATATAAAATGCATAGAACTTATATTTTTCTCTCAAACCAAAACCAAAAACCCCAAAAATGTGCACTAAACAGGTAATCCAATGCTCTCTAGATATTCTGGACTACAAGGATGATTGGTTATAACGGCAGAAGCTTATGAGAGTTGTGGTCCAACAAATCTACAGGGCATTAGAGATGGTAGTGGTGTACAAATAAAGTTTATTATTATTATTAGGTAATCTGTACACAAAAGAAAAAGTCACAGGAAAGTTTATTATTCCTTTCCATCCAGTTTACCACCCTTCTGTAACCCATCAACCATAACATCATTTATATTTTAAACCTTTCTTTGAATTGCCGGTGGCAGTTCTCACTGCAAAATCCCCTTCCTTCCTGGACTGATCCTGAAACATTTCTCCGACCACAGGTACTGCAATGGAACAGACTGTCTACAGTTGGAAGCTTCGGAGGTTCAGGAACATTTGAATCTACAGAAGCCAAAAGAGAAGCAAAGTTTTAAATGAGCCACAATGATCACAAACAAACACGAGTCATGGCAAGTCCTTTTGGGGCCAACCCAGATTCAGATGCCACTGGGGTACACACTCCGAAACACAAAGCATGTTCCATTTGGCACTTACAAAACATGTATTAGGGTGATTCAATATAATGGGCAAAGGTCCTACATAAAACTGGAAGAGCAAAAAGCTTCATTATATTGTTAAGTAACAATGGGTAGTTGTAGAACAGTGATATCCAGTAGTTTCTAAAGTTAATGGAGCAGGGAGGCATCTATTCCCCCTCAAGGACAATGAATTGCAAGGTTGGTTGAGGGTTTGGAACTATGCTTTACCAGCAAAGAGAATTGAGCTTGTGTATACCTACACTTGGTACAAGTAGGTATTAGATGCCTCCTTGCGCATGATTTGGAAAGATCTATCTGCTCATGAAACCAGTGGCTGTGCAAGTATAATACCCCCCCCAAGTAGATCCTGGTCAAGGCCCCATCATTTATGAAAAAGTACTCAAGGGACTACAACAGGAAACAAACAATTAGTGTGCATAGTAAGCAAACTCTTTCAATCCATGAAAGCACAAACAAGTTGTATGAATTGACACAAAAACAGTGTGCTGAAATATCTGATGAAAAGAGCATTAGTGGAAGCCTCATCCATACATATTTCTTCTCCACAACATCCTGCTTTGCCATCTCCTCACTGCATGGAAGTCACTCTGGGTCTTGAAGAGTATGTTAATAGAGCTCAAGCTCTTGCAGGTTCTAACTAGCTGTCACAGCCTAGCAAGTTTAACCAGGCTTCCACATGGTAGTGGGCTGCATGCCCACCTAGATAAGCACAATGGAACATTTCTCCAGAAGTGAAAAAAAGGCCACAACATCTATGAACACAATGATAGTGTAAAATACATGGGATCTACAAGGTATCTCTTTCTCTATAAATCACCACACACAAAATGAGTAAAACATCAAGAAAGATGTAATATTACCTCCCAACATTCTCATTGTTTCCATGTCCCAGCAGTGACTTCCACAATGCAAAGTATACACAAAGTTCTGAGAACCTATCAAAGACCAATACACACCTTGAGCTATGGTGGGATTGTCTTTGTTGATGAGAACCACAGCATCATCCGTATCTCTTTCTGAATGGCAATCTTTCAGGGGCTCCAGAGGTGAAATCTTGTCAGTGCTGACCACCTTCAATGTTCCATATTCATTTATCCGAAACTGCATCAAAAAGAAGAGGCATTATAAAGAGAACAAGGCAAATCTGCATATGACAGTATTGTGCTAAAAAAAGCATAAAGGCCTCATCTTCAAAACATCTGCATCCCTTTTTTGTCCAAGTAGAATAAGGAAAAGCAATAGGAATCATCCTGTCTATCCTCACACAACCATTTGGTGATGCAGACCATTCTATGTAGCCTGGAAGTCGTGCTATGTACCCGCTCAACCCTATCCCAGTCTTCCCAGTCAAAGAACAGGCATTTAGGGTTAGGAAAAAGATGTCATCCGCCTACCCTTAGGTTGCTTCCAGGAAGAGTTGCCACCCCATCCTTCCATTCCAGAACCCGGATGGTGTTGCAGGTCTGTACACCACTGATCTGTGGGATGACTGTTGCTGTGATAGGTTCACTTCCTGTGCCCTCTCTTTGCCTCTCTGCCCCCATGTTTTTCTGAGGGTCTCGAGGGAAACGCTGGATTTCTAAGGTGCTTGTTGGAAGGCTAACAGTGGTTGTGTTTGCTCAAGTTGGGAGAAAGAACAGTAAGTGCATGACAAGACTATCCATATGTGAACATGTTCATGATGACACATTTCATAACAAAGGAAGAACAAGATCTTTGAAAAGTTACTGTTTGAGAGTATAACTTAATCTCCTTCAGACAGCATAATCAATGGCCAATTGGCCATTTGGACTGGGCAATTTTGGAAGTTGTGATCAAAAAGCAACTTTTCCCAGATCTGTAAAGGATACTGCTTTGCTATCCAAGACTAAATGCTGGAAGAGAATATGAAGACAAATCCATCATAGATCTCCAAAGTAAAATCAATTAATCATGTATTGTTTAACTGTTATGTGTCAATTTATTACTATATTTTAAGCTGTTATCTCCTTCCTTAATCCACAGGAAGAATCAGGTAAGAAATCGTCATTATCTGCCAAGGTTCCTTCCCTCTTTACACTCTGATTATTTGGAAGTTCATTTTTGCTCCAAACAAAAAACCCTGATAAATATGAGGCAGCCAAAAACGTTTTTGTTTTGTTTTCTACAATGTCAACAGGTTAGAAACATAGTTTGTAAAGAAAGCATTCTTTCTTTCTTCTATAGATGGTCTGATGGGAAGATGCAGAGCAAATCTGAGACTAAAAAGACACACATCTACACTTCTACACTAGGTTAGATCACTGGATTCTGATGCAATTCTGGCTTTCACTACTTATCAATGCCATTAGGCATCTGCACCTTATCAACTTACAAGCTTAGTCCAGGTTTTAAATTTTCTATTTCGTTCAACAGGTCAAACTGGATCACCAAATCATTTCACTGGGAGAGGGATTCTAGCAAGCTCTGCTGTATCAAAAATTGTTTGTTTTTTACAAATGTACACTGTAAATACATCCAGTTTCAAATGAAATAACCTAGCAAAATAGGCAAAATACACAGAAAAAGGGAAAGTAGCAAAAGAACACAGAAAGACAGTTCAGGATGGAAACCGACTTCTGAGCACCTACCTGGTATGATGAATGCAGTTGCTGGTAAATGGGCACTTTGCACAGTATTTTCATTGGCAACCAGATGGACACTGACTTCCCCTGTTACATTCCCTTGTGTGCTTCTTATAACCTCCATTTCTGCCCGCCCATCCATCACCTTGCCCCAAGCATGAAGGATGTAACTGAAACATAACAAGAAAAGCAAGAAAAAACCCCTCTGAGCATTTGGGGAGAATGTAATAAACATTTGTTGAGTTTGCAACAGAATGTGAACTAAAGCAATGTTATTAGTCTATCTAATATGTAAACTGAAACACAGTTCTGCTTCAGTATTTCCTGTTTACAAATTGATGATGGATAAAAAAAATCTTATATTAGAGAAAATAACATGTTATTCTTAGTAGAAAAAGATCTGATTGAATAATGTGTTCACTAGCGCAAAGTACATGCAAATAGGTCTAAATTTAGAGAACATGAATTTCAAAGTTTCAAACCCATTTGAACTGATTTTCCAAAAGAAAATGCTGCCAGTGTATATTGTGGATACCTGTATATTATATACCTGTTAGCAATTTAACTGGTACTGTTTCGGATTAACTGATATTTCTGGCCCATTTTCAAAAGCAACATGTTGAAATAATAGAAATGGAAGGTTACCAGAGCATGAGCAAAAGCTGCAAGATACTGCAGTCCAAGTAGGAGCCCAGTAAGCTGGGCTGACAATTGGGAGCTCACACTGACCCATGGCTTCGAACTGGCAACCTTTTAGTTGGTAGATCTTATCATTACTGGTGATTTACCAGCTGTGCTAAAGCCTAGTAGTAGGAAGTATATATGGAACAAGAAAAAGGAAAATTGTGCTCCAAGAAGACTAAAGTATGATTCTCCTGTAAAGTATATAATGCTGCCTTTCACACCTAAATCTCGTTGCTAGTGCTATTATTATTATTATTATTATTAGCTGGGTAATTGTCGTCTGACCGCATAGGTACCGTATATAGTAAGTAGATATAGTAGTAGTAATTAGTCATCGAAATAGCACAGAGTAGAGCCGACATGTCGAAACAACGGTCATCGCTCTGCTAGCTAGATTAGTATATGGGATCAGCACATCGAAGTCGCTTCCCAAAGTGTCAATAAGAGACTGTGTGCATGATCAAGATGAAAAATAATGTAGACCAGATCAGAATGCGGGGCATTGCCAGCTGATACGCATAAAAGGATTAGAATATATGCGAGTAAGACGATAGCTGCTCCTATACAGTGCCATGACAAGCTCATTTTGGCGCACATGCACAGGTGTAGCAGGATCACACTGGACCACCATTTTTACTGCAAGTAGACAAAAATGGAACTTCATCTTTAAATCTTGTACATGCATAGCCATGTCAGCTTCATTGTCAATCCGCAGTATGATAGTTGTGTGCTACTGTATAACTCGGACACACACCCGTCCCCTTCCGGATCGGAGTATCGGCAGTTCTAAGAATGGATTTGCTTCGACACATAATGCAGAGCAAAAGCAGAGTACATACACTCAGTGAGTGCCTAACCTAGATATTGACTTACTACTAAACTGATTACCGTGGACGATATCAATTCAATGCCTGATCTACATCACTAGAAAGGTAACATTCTGTGATATCCCGAGGGCTTGTAGTTTTGTGAAGTACTCAGAATTCTAAATATCCCATGAAATATTGCTTCAGCAGTTAAAGTGAAATACAATACTGTGACTGTGTATGATGACTTGCTCCTGGGCATTATAGATGGACCCAGGTTTTTCAAACAAGGTTCCCTGAAAACTTTGTATTTTACACAGCTGACTCTTTGTTCCACAAGAGATTATCATTGGTGTGAAAAATCTCTCTTTTAGCTGCAGACATGGTCATTTTTATACGGACGTTCCCTGAGATCTTAAAATTATTTCCAGCATTCCTCCGGGATAAAAGGGTTGAGAAAGACTGATTTCAACATTTCAATCTGCACAAAAGTAATGTGTTGGTAAGGCAGGAACTTGCAAGGCTGATCACTGTAAGCATGATGTGACATTTGAGGTTATTAATTATCGTTATCTTTATTTATTTTCCACCTTTCTTTCAGTAATCAAGGCAGCCGACAAATTAAAATTAATGGCATGGGAATGGGATGGCAATTATAGACTCAGGTTCATTTTTTAAAAGAACATTCAAGAGGAGGAAAAACATAGGCAACAACTAATGACTAGATCCAGGCTAGAGGGCTAGAGGGAGATATGGGAAGAAACCGAAGCGAGTTTAACAGCCAGAGAGCAAATCTTTTCAGTACTAATCTGTGCCCTTTTGTTATGATTAATAGAAACAGAATAAAAATAGCATCACAAGCAATTTTATTCAAATTTATTCAATTTGTACCATTTTAGCAGTAGTAGAATCTTGACTTTTTTCACAGTAGGTTTTTTATTATCACCATATAGATTAGAATAGAGTGTAAAGGTGTACTAATATAATCTCCCAATTCAGAAGTAACAACTGCTAATGTAAAAGTGTGAAGAAAGACTACTGGCTTTTTTCAATTCTGGGGTAGTTTACTTTAGAAAATGTAAAGAGGACCAGTTTCTCTGTAGCCCCCTGCCTAAAAATTTGACATAATGTTAATGTTACAGCTGTTGTTCTTCATATAACAGTAAATAAAGAACAACACTCAAAAACAGAGGAATTCCAGACAAGAATTCCCTTATCTTGCTTCCACCTCCATCTCAAGTGCGATTGGTGGGGACAAGGGAGAGGTCCTTCTCGGTGGTGGCTCCCCAGCTCTGGAACTCTCCCTAGGGAGATTAGACTGGCACCTACGCTGTCCACCTTTTGCAAGGACCTAAAACATGAATGTTCCACTGTGCCAATGACTAAGCAGTTCACCAGATAATTGGCCCTTAACTTACAAACAGCTCCTGCACTTTAGTATTGCCCTCTGCCAAGTTTGATTCGGGTGGGGGGGGCTGAGTCTGATCTACCTAGCAAACCTTTTGTATCGTTACCCCAATACCCCCATGCATATGGGATATATTGAGTATGGTGATCAGATCATGATATGAATAAACATAACAAGTTTAAATAATGCACCAGTAAGGCCTTTTTGCGAACCACCATGAGAATTTGGGGGGGGGGGGGGGTGAAGCCCCCCCCCCCCCCCGGCTACATGCCTGGTGCCAATAACTAAGCAGTTCACCAGACAATTGGCCCCTAACTTACAAACAGCTCCTGCACTTTAGTATTGCCCTCTGCCAAATGATATTACCCTTCCAGCCTGACCTTTTATCGGATTTTGCACTTTTCCTTAGCCCTATACAGAAACTATTGAACAAACTCTGAGCCCTTCAAGCTCAGTATTTATTATTGTTCAGCCTTGGGATTGCTTTTATGATATTATGTTCTGTTATTGTAATGTGTTAATTTTATTTCGATATTTTGATTTGATTTTATTATGCTGTGTTTTTAATTTATGTTTTTTTTTGGGGGGGGGGGGGTGTCCATTTGTAAGTTGCCCCGAGTCCCTTCGGGGATGGAGGCGGGGTATAAAAATACAGTAGTAGTAGTAGTAGTAGTAGTAGTTGTAGTTGTTGTTATTATTATTAGAAACAATCAGGGCCAGCAAATCACCTCCCAACAAAGGATTCCTACAGCCAGTAAGAAGCCAGACCTTGAAACTGCTAGGCTATTAAATGCTAATCAAAGTGGCCAGTTGAAACATTTACACCAACCTCAAACAGACAAAAGTTCTTTCTCCCACCCTGGACATTCCACAGATATATAAACCTAGTTTCCAACAGACCTCACAACCTCTGGGGATGCCTGCCATAGATGTGGATGAAACATCAGGAGAGAATGCTTCTGGAACATGGCCATACAGCCTGGAAAACTCACAGCAACCCAATGATTCCGGCCACATAAGCTTTCGACAATACGTTGCTGCTACTGCTGCTATTAACACTGTCCAATGCCAGCCACATACTGGACAGTGTATGGAGCACAGGATTAACCTAGTGCCAACTTGAAGTGCAGTCTCTGGTACAAGAGAGGACAACACACCATTTTGTGTTAAAATCTTGTGGCAAGAGAACCCTCTTGAGAAATTTCTTCCCAATCAGCTTATTAAAAGCAGCGGTTTCAGTACAAACATGTTCATGCTGTTCCGAGACCCATCTGTTAGAAGCATTCAAAGTCTCAATTCTCAAAACTTGTTTATGCAGAGATAGTCTTTTAAATCAGCAAGCCATACAGTAACCATTATTTCGAAGGTCTATGGTACATTAGGCAAAAGCAAAACCCCACTGAACAAATCTTACCAAGAAACCCTCCCAATAGGATTGCCATAAGTCAGAAATGACTTGAAGACCATAACACATGGAAGATTTCAAACATTTAGATTGGTGCTTCAGTTAACTTTAAATGTGCAGGTTTAAAACTATCCTTTGGTTTTCACGTCTTTCTGAATTTTATCATATAAGTTACTCTATCAAAATGTAGCATCATATTCCTATTCCCACAATAATGCCAGGTTAAAAAATACAGGGGAAATACATATATTTAGTTGTGTGGGTGGCTCCGAGAACATATTTAAAGAGTGGGAGAATGCAAGTGCATTAGGAAGGTGTAGAATAATATAGTAAAGAAGAGGCTATTGTGTTGCTAGTGTTGGACATTTTTAAGAGTTGTATAAATGTTTGCTGTGCTTGAGTGGTACTTTGAAAACAACAATGAAAACAGCAAATAACAACAAATATAAACATATTAAATGGACACAAAATGCCACAGGATTGCATCAAGATGATAAGGAAATGATGTACTGTTCATTCTCAGTGACAGGGCATTACGCAATAGGTCCCAGCTATCTTTGCACAACCATTATTCCACACAATACATCCTACTGGACATTTGTTTGCATGGTAAGAAAGCAAATGGTAGGATGGTGAAAAAACATGGTGGAAAATGTAATCTAGTTCACAGGTCAAAATAACATAGTCTGCAAGCCACATGATGTACCTCAAGTCCATTGTTGTACCCCTGGAAACCCTGTTCCATCACTCTCCATTAAAGAAATAGAGAACATAATCTTCAGAATGGGACACATAAATCTCTTCAAAAACAAGGCATGCTGTTCACCTTGTTCTAGAGCCTCCTCCATTTTTCAAAATCACAAATGATCTTCTCCCTCACTTCTGTTTTTGACAGAAGCAATTGGTATGACCTCAGGCAAGTCTGGGGGTGATGGTGGCCCTTGTCCCTCAACAACAACATCAACAATAACAACCTTTATTTAAACCCTGCCACCATCTCCCCAAAGGGGACTCAGGATGGCTAACATGAAACAAAGTCAAGAATTACAATCAGGCAAAATAGAATACCTGCAACAGGAAATAACATCAAATAATGTGCAAACAATAACAAAATTATGCAATAGAATAAACAGAAAATATAAAATGATAAAGGGATTGAACACGGTGGGCTGGGCCAGATGCAAGGAATAAAATTATAAAACCCCTGGGTGAGATAGAAAATAGAGTAATATATCTAGTGGGAGACTCAGACGGAAAAAACAATGGGGTTAATCTTCAGTGAAGGATGAGATAAAGTGTTCATGTCTCATCAAACTTCACAGAGTAAGCAGAGAAGTTCCATATTTGAAACACCACAGTTGGAATGACAGTCTTCACCACAGCAGTTAGTGAGGACTCATGCCTGAAAACCGAGCCCTGATCAGTTTGAAGTAAAGGCTGAGATTACTTTGGCTAACCTGCCTCTCTGAGAAATTGTCATGAAAGAAAGGAACAGCTAGCTGACCAAGACTCCATTCGGTATTCATGAAACTCATGAATGGTTATTGAAGTAAATCCTCCTGAGTTTAGTGAGTTTTGCTCCTGGGTAAATATTCGTGAAATTACAGTCATGTAGTGCAATCCTATATAGAGTTATGTCTGACTAAATCCAATGTAATCAAAGGGAGTAAGCACACTTAACTATGCAAAGAACCGCAGGTTTAGATTACACCTTTTTGCACAGCTACCTGGAAGTGAGCACCAATTAGCACAGTGGGATTCTTTTCTGGAAAAAAATGTACAAGAGAAAGAATGTAAATTATTATTATTATTATTATTATTATTATTATTATTATTGCCCATTTTTATTATCATTATTTTCAAAGTGTACACAATATAACATAAGTATTGGTATATAAAGCCACCAATTAACCGTAGAAATTTTACACTTTCTAATAATGTGGAAGTGATTACGAAAACTTCCCGACCCTACACTGAGATAGAGTATTACAATATTTTGTCCTAGTAAAGCTCTTATCAAGCAATGTGCATATATATGTAAAATTTACATAAAGTATTCAAAGGCAACCTAATTGTACAACATTTATCATAATCTTGCTCTTCTTTCAGGCAATGTATTTTTACTTACTCAACACTGTTATAGATCAGTCTTTAAATATTCTACCTTTATAGTCTGTGAAAAGCTTCCAATTATTTTGAAAAGTTGTATTGTCTTATTTCTAAGGAGACAAGTTAATTTATCAAATTCTGTAAAGCTTACCAGTTTAATCAACCATTTGTTTACAGATGGAATAATACTTTATTTCCAGTGTCTGGCATAACTTATTCAGGCAGCTCTTATAGCACTTTGAAAGAAAACAATATTTTTCTTGCTGATGACATTATTTGCCAGTCCCAACAAAAAATATTTCTGGTAAAATTCTGTTGTAATTTGAATTGTTTCCTTAACAGCTGTCCAATATGCATGGGCTTTGTGGATGTAAATCTTGTGAAGAGCAAAACTGTTCCTTCTTTGAGTGTGTTTCCCATCTACTTATTACAAGCCAAACATTCATTGATCTAATCCTATCTATCTCCTCCTTCCAATCAAGGTCCTTCCACACAGTTGAATAAAATCTCACGTTTTCTGCTTTGAACTGGAATATATAGCAGTGTGAACTCACACAACCCAGTTCAAAGCAGATATTGTGGCATTTTCTGCCTTGATATTTTGGGTTATATGGCTGTGTGGAAGGGCTCTCCATTTCTTAAACAACTGTGACAAAGGAAAGGTACGGTACAAAGAAAACTGGAGAGGACAGCAAAATTGCATTTATAGCATTTTATTTGCCTTAATATGTCACTACTTTTTTGTGTCGCAATAAGGCCAAAGAGAAGACAGTAGAACCAAAATCATATAGCGGCTTCCCACATCCTTTTCATACCTCGCTTTTTAAACTTTTGCACCTCGCTTTTGCAAATTATAGACAAGGTCCATTCATTTGATGAGAAACCTTCCTTGAATCACTTTTGAATGCATAGTATAGCTTTTTAAAGTTGTATCATGCATTTAAAACTGATATATAGTGTGTTAATTATGTTTTTCAGCCACCAAAGTGTGCTTCCAAGCTAAAATAACCTCAGTTTCACCTTTCAACTGATTCCACTTTCTGATAGTGTGAGCTTCCTGTTGCTCCTTGCATGTTTCAAAAAAAAAAATTATTATGAAAGTTCTTCTACACTAGTGTTCCTCAAGTGAGTCAGAATTAATGATTCAATGATGAAATGCTATGATCAGAATTCAAATAATTTTAGGGAGAAGGAGTTTTCTCTTGGTATGTTGAGTTCCTGCAGCTTTTTATTTTTTTAAAAAACTCACCCTTTGAAGTATTGTCCTCACTCAAGAGATAAACTAAGCCTTCTTATGTACTAAATGAGCGTAAAGCAACTGTGATTTTTCAGATTGTTGCTGTCTGACAGAGGATTAGATAGCCGTAGTTTAGGGGAAGTAAAATATTACTGCTGTGTTGTGCTTTAAAGATCCCATTTTTCTATGCACATTAACGATAGCACAATTCTCACATCTAGCAAATTAAGGGCTAAATCCAGTTGGTCAGACCCAGCTGATACAGTTCAGTTGACTTTACTGAAATTGGAAAATGTAAATATTTCCTTAGCTTGTATGTTCAAAACAGTACAGACTGTAGAGAGTCCTTCACACGATCTTGATTTTTCATCCCCCACACCAAAACATATTCAGCAGTTTACCTGCACTTGTTGCATGTGTTTTTCTGTAAGGCAGAATTTAGCTGTATGATACAGTATCAACAGCTGATACTACATCTTGTTGGTATCTTGTTAGTAGGGAGTCTCCAGTACATTGCTGGATTGACTAGGCCTGATATTTCTTATGCTGTGTCTGTTTTGAGTAGAAGAGTTCAAAGTCCAAGTTACACAGATTGGAATGGTTTGAAGAGGGTGTTGAGGTATTTGAAAGGATCGATCAATAAGGTGTTTGAGATGAAGTCTGGCATTTTTTGTTACACATAACTAAGAAAACATAAAAAACTGCTATGGTGGTTAGTAATATTAAAATCGCACAAGGCCCAACACTACATTGTGGTTGAAAAACCGGGTGCATCTGATTATCAGAAATGAACAGCAGCACTCAGTGAGTTTTTTGCTGAAAGAAGGGTGTCCTTGACTTCACAATTTTCTGCATATATATTTTTTAAAAACTACAATGGAGTTTTTCAACACTGTAAGAAATAAAATCTGGATTTTCATCTCCTGTTAAAACACTGTTTCTCAATCTTGCTAATGCTGTGACCCCATAATTCAGTTCCTCATGTTGTGGTGACCCCAACCATAAAATTATTTTTGTTGCTACTTCATAACTGTAATTTTGAAATACTGTTATGAATTGTAATGTAAATATCTGATATGCAGGATGTATTTTCATTCACTGGACCAAATTTGGCACAAATACGCAATACACCCAAATTTGAATACTGGTGAGGTTGTGGGGAGGTTGATTTTGTCATTTAGAAATTGTAGTTGCTGGTTCACCTACAATCAAAGAGCATTCTGAACCCCACCAATGATAAAATTGGGCCAAGCTTCCCACATAGAACTATTCATCCGCACATGTGCACCACAGTGCCATGTGCCGAGCACACCTGCTCTCCTCTCCACAGCTTGGAGTCTCAGAAACAGCCCTCCCCTTGGCTGAGAGGCTGGCCAATCACAGCGGAAGAGGGATTTTGGTGGAAGGGTTTGCTGCCTGTTTCCAAAATGGAAGAAAAGGACAGGCAGAGAGATCTTTAGCCTTTTCTGCCAAAGTGCCTCCTAGGACCATCAAAAACATATTTTTGGTGACCCGCTCTGAAGCCCCTCACAACCTCATCAGGGGTTCCAACCACCAGGTTGAGAAACGCTATTAAAGCAAACTCTAATGAGCACCACATGTTGCTATCTCACAATCAAATCCTGATTTCCTTTCCCCTTGTTCATATCCATACTGCTCAATTTTGGATACAAGGGATACTCCTGTGTTCCATTCACCCTGGAAATCACATTCCCCAATTGTCAAGACCTTAATTCTGATGAGAATTTCACAATCATGTGGAGAATTGATTGTTCTAGGTCTCCAGTAATACCTGAGATGACCAAAGTTATGTACATTCTCTTTAAACAGTCTTCAACTAAAATGCATGGAATTGTTGTCCAAAACATTAGCTCATCTCAGTTCTGCCCATAACAGAATGTAACTAAGCCAAGGAATGTGGATGCAATAAAACAGACAGTATATTTTTCTCCCATTAAACTAAATGTATACTATTATATTTATTTCTCCTTTATTATTCTCTCCCCACCTCTGCTGTCTCCCCTGTGACAAATTTTATAAGGGAAACTCTGGGAACTCTCCTCTCATTTGCTATAAAGAACTAAGCACATCGTTGATATGATATAAAAGCAAGAAAAAGAACAAAAATGAATAGAATACAGTATAAAGAGTAGAACTGGGACTCATTCCTTGAAGTGAGGTTGAAGGTGGTTTTTAGGTTGAAAAGGTTGAAAACAGTAGTTTTCATTAGAAGTCTGTAAAACATGAATTGAATCTTGAGGCTATGCATTTCTTGCCCTCGGTTTGAACCATGCACCTATGCCAAAGTGAATTCTATTTATATCACACTGATTTTTATTACATCTCATTATAATCAATCCTGAACTCTTGTTTATGACAAGATACAACTATAAATAGTTAACCAACTATCAGTTGGAAATGAATTAAAAGAAATAATAATCTGAGTATCCTAGTTCCATTGTAGAACCAAAGACCTAAGCCACGCAAACAGATGGCACACAAAAATCCATCCTCAGAAATAATGAAAAAAATGTGGGGAAATAATTTGTTGTTGTAAACTGCCAACAAGTTGGCTTTGATTTATGACAACTCTATAAATGATAGACCCTCAAGTCACAGGTCTGTTAAGATTTTGCAGACTCGGCCCAAAGCTTCTGATTGAATCTATCCATCCGAAATGTAGTCTTCCTCTTTTCCTACTGCCTCCTACTTCTAATGTGTCTTCGTCTTCTCATGATGAATCCTTGCAAACCGCCTTCTACCCCTCAGAAGACACCCTTCCAGAATCCCAGAACGGCTTCCACCCCTCCAGAGGAACAATGGACATGATTTTCATTGCACAACAGCTCCAAGAAAAATGCAGGGAACAAAATCAACCTGTGTACATGCCATTCATTGACCTTGCAAAGACATTCGACACAGTGAATCACAGTGCTCTCTGGACCGTCCTTCAAAAAATCGGATACCCTAACAAATTTGTGAACATCCTGCGGCTTCTCCATGATGACATGATGGCAACAGTCTTGGACAGCAATGGCTCCCAAAGTGACCCTTTTAAGGTGACGGCAATGTTCCAGAAGCATTCTCTCCTGATGTTTCACGCAAATCTATGGCAGGCATCCTCAGAAGTTGTGAGGTCTATTGGAACAACATAGGATCCCCAGGCAGGAAGCAGCCAGGCTTTGAAGTTGCAAGGCCATTCAATGCTAATCAAGGTAGCCAACTGCAACATTCACACTTGCCTCAAACAGACAAGAGTTCTTTCTTCCACCCTGGACATTCCACAAATATATAAACCTCACTTGCCTAGTTTCTAACAGACCCCACAACTTCTGAGGATGCCTGCTATAGATGTGGGCAAAACGTCAGGAGAAAATGCTTCTGGAACATGGCCATATAGCCCAGAAAACTCAAAATAACCCACGAATTAAATTGTTCATGTTCCTTCCTCCATTTCATGTATCCTTTCTCTGAGCCTAATTCTGCAGCATATAAATTAGACAGGATGATAAAATGAAGTATTGCCTGACCCCTTACCAACTGAAAATAATTTCATTTCTTGCTTTTTTGTCCTGGCGCTAGCTTCAAGCCTTCCGTACAGGTTATACATCAGGACAGTCAAATGTTGTGGTGGCACATCCATTTCTTTATGAGCTTTACATAGTTTTCATGATCTGCACAAAGACTATTTTATAAAGCACAAGCTGTTTTCCCCCTGAAATTCTTCAGTGCTTGCTTATATCTAGTGTAAGCAAACAACTTTCAACCCCACCTTCCACACATTTGTATAAATATAGCCATAAAGAAAAAAGCCTGAGAAATAATCAAAACTACTTTGCCCTTCAGAACAGTTTGGACAGCAACTGCCCATTAAGTTAAGCAAAATAGGGTAATATTTGCAAAGTAATAACTTAGTAAACAGCAATGAAGTCACAATGTCACCCATTATTTCCATTTATACAATTTCCAAAGACTGGTGTAGTATGTTGTAGGCTCATAAAAAGCCTTTAAAAGTCACTACAATTAAATAGCCTAACCAAACACTATAGTCTGTCTTGTGATTTATGCTGGTTTTATTATATAATTTAGAACGCAATGCCCAGCTATTAAACAATAATCATAGTCACTTCCGTTTGTTAGTCATTTCTGCACCGAAGGCTCATAAAGTGAAAATGTTAGCACTGTGGGCTAAATTTGACAATTCTTATTATTTTAAAGCAGTGGTTCCCAACCTGTGGTCTATGGACCACCAGTGGTCTGCAAGAACTAAAATATGATCTGTGGCCTCACCATTACTATACCACTGCAATGAGAGTGACTGGTCTTGTGAAACCCTCTTATAGTGCTAAAGCTTATTAAATATGGTTTTCTGTGGGTGAGCAGAAGGCAAATACCGGATGGCATATGTATTGTATCAGAAACTAGAGCTGATGTGGTATGTCCAATTTTCTGAATCAGCTCCTCAATTAACCAAACTGAATCTAAAGTTGACCAAAAGCTAATTTGTAACCCTTTTGGTACTAATGTTGGAGAGTGGTCCCTGTCAAAGTGTTCCCTGATCAAGTGGTCCCTGTCAAAGTGTTCCCTGTGCATTCAGAAGAAGACCTACAAGCCACTCTAAACACCTTTACAGAAGCATACGAGAAGCTCAGCCTCTCATTGAACAATGAGAAAACCAAATTGCTCTTCCAGTAGCCACCAGCCAATCCCTCTGCAATGCCAGAAATACAGTTTAATGGTGTAACATTAGAAAATGTTGACCATTGTCGCTACCTTGAAAGCCACTTCTCCACAAAAGTCAACATTGACACTGAAATACAACACTGCCTGAGCTCTGCAAGTGCAGTATTTTTCCAAATGAAGTAGAGAGTGTTTAAGGACTGGGAGATCCGTAGGCAGACCAAGGTGTTTGTTTATAAAGGTATTGGTCTCCCAACCCCACTATAGGTCTGTGAAACGTGGACTGTCTACACACATTACACTCAACTCCTAGAACAATTCCATCAGCATTGCCTCCGGAAAATCCTGCAAATCTCTTGGGAAGACAGGCGGACAAATGTCAGCGTGCTGGAAGAAGCAAAGACCACCAGCATTGTAGCAATGCTCCTACTCTATTAACTCTGCTGGACCGGTCATGTTGTTCGAATGCCTGATCATCATCTCCCAAAGCAGTTACTATACTCCCAACTCAAGAACGGAAACGTAATGTTGCAAGACAGGAAAAGAGATTTAAAGATGGGCTTAAAGCCAACCTTAAAAACTGAGGCATAGACACTGAGAAAGGGGAAACCCTGAACCTTGAGTGTTCTAACTGGAGGTCTGCTGTGAACAACAGTGCTGCAGAATTTGAAGAGGCACGAATGGGAGGCGAAAGGGAGAAACATGCCAAGAGGAAGGCGCATCAAGCCAACCCTGACCGAGACTGCCTTCCATCTGGAAACTGATATCCTCACAGCGGGAGAACATGCGGATTGAAATAGGGCTCCACAGCCACCTACCAAGCCATCACCAAGAGACTACACTTGGAGGATCATCATCCTTACAAGGGATCGTCTATGCAAGTAAAGTAAGTAAGGTTAAAAAAAAAAGATTGGGAACCACTGTTTTAAAATAATGGTTTGTTGTAATTCTAAACATATAGCAGTTCTTTTGTGTTGCATAAGATGCAAAGGATCTAACAATGCTCATGTAAGTAGCTATCCTGAGCAACGTTTTAGCTTTTCAGTTTCTCTGCTCCTGTTTGGTAGCAGAGACATATATTAAGATTAAGTAGTTCAAACTTGAAGCTTTAGTCATTAGCACGACAGTAACAATATTTTGCAAGTGTGGGGTTGATCTCAAGCGTAGTAGTGACAAAGAAGGCAACAGCTTGTTCAACATGCTTCAGTCTTATGCAAAGGCGTACAAATAGCAAGATGATTATACTTGCTATAATATATATATATATATATTACACTAAGCCAAATTCATCAAAACATGCAACACCCTTGACTATGCAACAGGCATGGGCAAACTTTGGCCCTCCAGGTGTTTTGGACCCCAACTCCCACCATTCCTAACAGCCTCAGGTCCCTTCCTTTTCCCCCTCAGCGCTTAAGCGGCTTGGGGGGGGGGGAAGGGCCTGAGGCTGTTAGGAATTGTGGGAGTTGGGGTCCAAGACACCTGGAGGGCCAAAGTTTGCCCATGCCCACTATACAAGATCCTGTCTCATGGTTCATGGCTATCCAACAGACATGACATAAAATGCTCTTGGTAAAAGAGTAGAAAGCAGCAGGAAGAAATTTAGGAAGGTTTTATTCCCGAACGAGAAATGGAGAATGAAGTCAGGCATGTTGAGAACAGCATGCTTGAACTAGCTGGACAAAATGGGTCCATCTGCTAGCTAGGGTGAATATGATAGAAGACAGGCACCCTCCCCAACTTGAAAACAAGGACTTAAAACATGGAATGAGATTCCAAATCAATCTCTTCCTTTTAATTATCCCTATTTTGCCATCATGTAGCAGAGGGGTTTTTTTTTTGTTTTGTTTTTTTTTGGGGGGGGGGGGTTGCAAACATTCACTTTCCCGCAGCAGAACGAAAACCTTCCAACAAGGGGCTCTTTCACACATATCCCAGAATATCAAGGCAGAAAATCCCACATTATCTGCTTTGAAGTGGGTTATCTGAGTTCACACTCAGATAATGTGGGATTTTCTGCCTTGATTTCCTGAGATATTGGGAAAAACACCCAAAACCTCTCCAAAGAGGGGCATCTTGGCAACGCACCTTCTAACAGGGATCCAGGACCTCATCACACTAGAGAATGAATCCACTTTAAATCTGGTTGCTGCCTCCTGCAGAATTCTGGGGTTTGTAGTTTAGGGAGGGGCCTTTAATAGCCTCACTAAACTACAAACACCAGCATTTTGCAGGAGTCAGAAACCGGATTTAAAGCGGATTCATTCTCTAGTGTGGAGGACTATTAGAAACAGCACCATCCACAAAGTATTTTGGAGAGGAGGAAAAAAACAAGCCAAAATGGCGGAATTCTCTTTTTTTATTATTTTCTTGCAAAAATAAGATCTTTTTTCCATCTGACTAGGGAAATAAATATGAAATTTCGCAAAAGGGGAAAGTCTTTTCCTTCTCTCCCTGGGAAGAGGTTCGGGTTTTACGCCTCTCGCCTCCCTCCTCCAAACTCGCCTCCTTCTGCATCGCTTCACTCCAACTCTTTATATGTCGTCTGTTTGTGGGGGGAAAAAAAAAGGGGGGGGTGTCTTCCAATTATGGATACCACTAAAGGGGTATTTAAAAAGCGCACAGGGATATCGCCTGCGCTAGATCGATGGCTTGGCTACATATAAACACCCAGGCAAAACCACAGCTGGGCTTTCCAATTCCTCCTACCTATTCCATTCCCCCCTCCCCTGCCAGGATGTTGATTTTGCAAATACTCGTGGAAGACAGGCGGAGGGGGATGGGCAATACAAAGGCTGTTTCCCCTATTTGGGTTTGTCAAAGGGGGTGGAGAGAGGGAGACCCAAAAGGCTGCCAGCATCCACTTGCGAGCAGAGAGGCGCAGGCACATCTGGCCATCCATGCATGGCATGCAAAGGGGAGCCCAGGGCTGCAGCCCCTGCCTGCCTGCCTGCCTTCCTTCCTTCCTTCCCATGATCGAAAAGAGGTTCAAAAGGGACTTTCTTATCTGATTCCTTACCTACCAGCATCAGCCCTGTGGTCACTGGACGCGGAGCCTGCGGGAAGCTCCGGCCGGCCGCGCCTGCGCGCTCCGGGGGCGGGGCTGCCCTCCCTCCCTCCATCCTTCCCTCCCTCCCTCCTCCCTGCAGAAAGAAGGCACTTGGTGAGGAAGAGGAGGAGGAGGAGGAGGGTTAGGCCATTGGCAAGGCAAGCAGACCCCGTAGGCAGGAGGCCAGCCAGCCAGCAAGAGAGAGATGCTTTCTTTGCAGGGGAGGAATGACTATTCTCCCCGCTGCAATCCCCCCTCCTTAGACATGATTCAACCCTCTCCCCCCCTCCTTTCTCCCTCTCCATCATCCTCTCCGTCTCCCCCCATTTTTCCTTTTTCCTTCCCCAATCTAAAAGAATAGGAAAGAGGTCCATATTTAACATCTGTAACCTCAGATATGGGTGGTGGCGTTTTCTTAATGGAAGGGAGGAAGAGAGAGATGGATAGGCAAAAATAAAACATTGAATTGTCGGGGTTTTTTTTTTTTTTTTTTGAGGGAAGAGGGTTGATTTTCCCCCTCCTTCGTCTTTTGAAGCCCACCCTCCAAAAGAAAACATGGCCAGCTCTTTGCACAGCATCAGCTTTGCGGCCTTCCACACAGCTATATAACCCAGGACCCTTCCAGACAACCCTGTATCCCAGAATATCAAGGCAGAAAATCCCACATTATCTGAGTGTGGACTCAGGGCCCTTCCACACAGCCCTATATCCCACATATGTGGGCTCAGATAACCCAGTTCAAAGCAGATATTGTGGAATTTTCTGTCCTGATATTCTAGGATATAGGGCTTTGAGGAAGAGCCCCCAGAATGCCAAGGCAGAAAATCTCACAATGTCTGCTTTGAACTGGGTTATCTGAGTCCACACAGCCCTCTATCCCAGTTCAAAACAGAAAATGAGGGATTTTATTCAGCCTTTGTTTCTTTTTATTTTTGGGAAGAGGTTTAGTTTTGGAATGTGTAGACATTTAGGCCACCTTCCTCCTTTCTGAGAAATAATGAGTATTTTTCCCGCAACCTCCCCTTACACATCCTTCCACCTCACCCACATTCAGGAAGGCCCCTTCCACGTAGCTGAATAAAATCCCACAATACTTTATTTGTACCCCACTACCATCTCCCAAGGGACTCGGTGCGGCTTACATGAGGCCGAGCCCAAAAACAACAATACAATCAATAATAACAACAATACAAGCAATTAAAATAAAACATGGACAATAAAATAACAAAACATAACAATAAGACAACACACAATTAAAACTAAGGGAAGGCCAAATGTAGAATTAAAATTGAGAATAATGCTGGAACATGGGCGAAAAAGTGATGGGGCGTTTGTGGAAAACATACAAGCAGACCTAAAATAATGCAAAGTGCTTTGGAGGACAAAGTGTAGACTCAGATAACCCAGTTCAAAGCAAATATTGTGGGATATTCTGGGTTATATGGCTGTGTGGAAGGGCCTGAAATTACAGGTGCACCTCTACTTACTTCTTTGGGGTGTGAGGATGGGGTTTCAAATGCTGAAACAGATGAATCCATGGTGTAAGTCCCCTTCTACTTCCATATAATCCAGATGCTCAAAGATGATGATTATGTTAAAGTGTATTGTTATCTGATACACAAGAAGATTAATATATAGCAAAAAAGCCAGCATAGTGATCTTGTTTGCTGTGTACTAATCTTGTTTGTGCATCAAATAATAATAGTGCACTGTATTTCTTTTCTGCTCTATCTTCCCAAGGGGACTCAGAGCAGATTACAACATACACAGATAGGCAAACACTCAATGCCTTTCATACAGTGAAATAACAATGACACACAAATACACAGAACAAAGGTAAAGGCTTCCCCTTTCATCTCTGGCTTCTGGAGATGATACTCAACTCCGGCCTTGGGGAGGTGCTCTTGTTCCATTTCCAAGCTGAGGAGCCTGTTGTCCTTAGACACCTTTTGGTCGTGTAGCTGGTATGGCTGCATGGGCACCTTTATTATCTTCCTGCTGAAGTGGTACCTATTGATCTACTCACATTTTTCAAACTGCTAGGTTGGCAGGAGCTAGGGCTAACAGCGGAAGCTCACCCCGACCCTGAACTTCGAACTGCCAGACTTTAGGTAAGCAGAGTCAACAGTTTAACAGTTTAACTCATTGTGCCACCACACCCCCTTAATGCATATTATCTGCTTTGAACTGGATTATATGAGTCCACTGCCAGTTCAAAGCAGATAATCTGGATTTTATATGACAGTGTGGAAGCAGCCTAAATTTTGGAGTTGGTGGAAGAAATGGGAATGAGATCAGATTACAGGCTGGCCATACCTTATCCAGAATCCCAAAATCCCAAAATACTCCAAAATCGTCCACACAGGTGGCTGTGACAGTGACACTTTTGCTTTTTGATAATATAATGAACACAAACTTTGTTTCATGCACAAAAGAACATTATGCCTAAAATGAATTTCAGGCTATGTTTATTAGGTGTATATGAAACATCAATGGATTTTGTGTTTTGACTTGGGATCCATCTCCTCAATATGGAGTCTTTTACAAAGTTCAGACAAAACTGACTGTCATGTATTCTATAACAGGAAATGTTATCCTGTTGAATCTCCTTTGTCAGGAATGCTGAATTCCAAAATACTCCTAAATCCAAAATTCACAGCTCAGGTGGCTGAGAAGGCGACACCTTTGCTTTGTTATGGTTAGATGTACATAAACTTTGTTTCCTTCACAAAAATATTGTTTAAATATTGTGTATATGTTACAAGGCTATGTGTATAAGATGTATATGAAACCTCCGTAAATTTTGTGTTTGGACTTGGGTCTCATGTCCAAGTTATCTCATTTGCATGAAATGCAGGTATTCCAAAATCCAAAACACTTCTAGTTCTAAGCATTTCAGATAAGGGATAACCTATATTTCAAAGGGCAGTGAACTTGACTTCCTGTCATCTCTATAATGGGCATAAGTTATCATCCTCAAGAGTCAACAACAGTTCAACAGGTTCATAGAATCATAGAATAATAGTTGGAAAAGACCACATGGGTCATCCAGTCCAACCTCCTGCCATGCAGGAAAAGCACAATCAAAGTATCCCTGACAGATGCCCATGCAGCCTCTGTTTAAAAGTTTCCAAGAAAGAAGCTTGCACCACACTCAATGTATGAAACCTAATTTCACCCCGAGGAACAGAACACCATATCTTAAATATAGAGTTCTTCAAGGCTCAGATGGAGCAGATATTTGTAATATTAACTATTATTTTTAAATTAATTCCATTGATATTTAATTCTATTTTCATGATTGTATTTTTTATTTTAAATTGTATTGAAATGCTTTAATAAGCTGTTTTAAGCCTCCTTTTGGAGAGAAAAAGCAAGGTATAAATAAACATATTATTAATAATAATGTGTCCTGTGACAGGAAGTTTTATACAGATTGGGAATCCCTTATCTAGAACTCCAAAATTGTCCATATGTGTTGCTGAAAAAATGATATGTTTGCTTTTTGTGAGTTAACTGTACACAAACTTTGTTTCATGCACAAATTATTTTGGATATTGCATAAAAGTACCATCAGGATATGTATACAGGATGCATATAGGGAATCATAGAATTGGAGGGGACCACAAGAGCCACCCAGTCCAACCTTTTGCCATGCGGAAACACAACTAAAGTACTCCTGGCAGACAGCCATCCAACCTCTATTTAAAAGCCTCCAGAGAATGAGATTCCACCATACTATGAGGCAATATATTCTCCTGGCAAACAGCTCTTACCATCATGAGGTTTTTCCAAATGTTACCAACATTAGGAAGAACTTCCTTACAGTAAGGAAGTTTTTCCACGTTTTGATCTGCATCCCATTTCAAGACATTCCATTATGTATTTAAATACAAATAGAGGGCATTTATTTATTTACAATATCTATATTCCACCCTTCTCACCCTGAAGGGGACTCAGAGCGGATCACAGAACACATATACTGCAAACATCCAATACTGTTATACAAGGACAAGGCAGATAACTCTACATAGATGGAGGTATATATAGGCTTTTCCCTATCTTCGGCATCCTGGAGGCTGTGCTTAGTTCCGGTCACGGGGGGTTACTGTCACTCCATCTTCCTTGCCAAAGAGCTTTGTTCGTAAACTTCCTCCTTGATCAAATCGCCAGTATTTTTCTGGCATTTTCTTATGGGTGCCTTAAAAGGGATGCTCAACCTATGTTATGATTACAAATCACCATTTGACCTAATTTTGGAAAATCAGTGTAGTCAGGCTAAGATAGAACTTGGATGGAAGAGCACCAAGGAATGCCAAGGACCTCCAAGTAGTGGCAGGGGGGAAATCAAGACTACCACTACTATTTATTGTTTTATTTATTTATTCCACCTTTTAACCATTTTAGAACACAAGGTGGCTTACAACAGACTGGAATTTTTTTTACATAATACAATGTTAACATTTCATTTAAAAAGTTACAATTATAAACCATGGGGGGGGGGGGCACTAGAGATCTTGAGAAGTAGTAGGATAGATGGCCAAATAGTCTGACTTAACATAAAGCAGCTTCCTATACTCTTAAAAGTATACATAATTCAGTGAACACTAAATGGACCATTTCTAAGCAGTCTGGAAATAATCATTCTTCTCTTTGGAACATTGGCTAAACCTTTTTAAATTACATTTGTATCTTCTTTTTTTAAAGCATAGGGGCAGAATGGTGAGGATGGGAGCTGAACTGCTGGCAATGATTTATGGGAATGGGAACTCTCAGAAGCACAAAATACATCAAGCACACAAGATCACACCTCTGGGTACAGCACACTAGGTGCTCAGAATAGCCATGTCGGGAGTTTCTAGGTGAGAGATTTTAGTGTGCAGTCTTTTGTCCTGCTGCAAATACCAAAATTTACCAAGATACAGATGACATAATATTTCTTTTGTAACCATCCTGTGTTTTCCCATGGCTGTTTCTGTCATTTTTCTTATCACACCAAATCTGTTGAGAAGGCAGTGATAGAATAGATGCACTGTATATTTTGA